ATTATTATTTAACATCTGTATTGTGGGAGCACTTAGAGATGTCAGCCAGGGCGGGGCCCCAAATTGAGCTCTATTCTTTCTAAGCACTGTTCTTTCTAAGCACTTCCTTGCTTCCCCCTCCTTCTTCCCAGTAACCTGTTTTTCATGAAGACTTCCAAGGGTTTCCAGGACGGGCACATCTGGTATTCGATTTTCAACCGCTCCCCAAGAAGCACCTTCACGCGAGCCCAGAGAGTGTCGTGCTGCTTCTCCCTGCTGCTCTGCACCATGCTGACCAGCATCATGTTCTGGGGGGTGCCGAAGGACCCAGCTGAGCAGAAAATGGACTTAGGTAAGTGTGAGTGACTGCTCGGGCTGAGCAGGGGGGAAGGGGAAACAAGGAGCCAGGAAGCAGTTTCAATGGGGATCGCTCAGCAACAAGGTTTTTCCAGGGGGAGGGGCTCTAAGTCTGGCATTTTCACTTTGTTCTGGGACTATTTTTACCCTTCCTCTCTGCCTGACGATGGCAGGTAAGATCGAGTTCACGTGGCAGGAGGTGATGATCGGCTTCGAGAGCTCCCTCCTCATGTTCCCCATCAACCTGTTCATCGTGCAGATCTTCAGAAACATCCGACCCCGGGTGACCAAGGAGCAGGAGAAGAAACCAGGGAAAAGTGGCCGAGTGTCTCCAAACCTGCCCCCTCCCCCTCAGGCAATCCAGAGCATCACGCTCACCCCTGAGGCTGTGATAAAGGCAAGTCCCTCTGCGCACGGCCTGTTACAGGGAAATAGTTGAGAGTACTGATCTGTCCCAAGGGTGTACAAAATACATTGCACTGCCCCCTCCTGGTGGGTGTACGCATCAGTATGAACTCACTGTTTACTCTGTGTGGCAAGAAAGTACTATTTTGTCCAGATGTGCTTCATAATTCCTTAAGTAATAAGCCAAACATTCACTGAGAGGTGTCTCTCTGTTAGAGGTCCTCTTGACTCTGGGGGATGGGGTTAAAGAATGAGGGGTACTTAGCTAGGATTACCATTGTCAGGGTCAAATTCTCCAGGTAGGGGACTCTCACTGATTTCATGTACCTCCCTAAGCAGATATTGAGCCTTATGGGTACGTACTGAGGGACTAATATCACTGTGTTGTGTGGTCACAATCTAACATCAAGGAAATGGATAACATTTGTCCCCATGTACAACTAACAACATGAGACATATGTATAGTCATGTTGCGTAATGCACAACTGGAAGGAGCTCCAGTCCTATCATGATGAGCATGGTATTAGAACCTATATAGAATAGACTCCCCAGCCCAGGTGAATTGTGTGTATTTTCACATCCTGAAAGCTTATATTGTTGGACTTAAACCTGTCAGATCAGGACTGTCCCATGAGACTGTCTAACACTGTGAGAGTCGAAGGACTTATCCATACTGGGGCAGCACTGTAGCTACAGAATCAGTGCAAACCCCCATTGCAGATGTGGTGCACCAGTGAAGCTTACCTTAGTTTCAAACTACATCAGTGTAAGTAACCAGAGCCACTAGGTGACTGCCATGGTGTTGCTGCATCTTCCAGGATATTAGGAGAATTGCCAATTCACTGTTTAAAACCCTGAAGACTCCGCTACCCTCCTCAGAAACAGACCTTGGAAAATCTACTGACATCAACACACTATTGGCTTTGGTTGAGGACATCATCTGCCAGCAGAACAGAGCTGGGCAAGAGTTTTATGATGAGAGTAAAAAGAAGGATGATCCTATTATCATCACACTAGGGTCTGTAGATATACAAGGTAAGCTAAGAAAAGCCTCACTGAAATGCCTGTAAGTGAACCCACCACAATCGCTAGATATGAGGACCACTCTTATTTCATTTTGAGTTTAGGACAGTCAGTGAAAACACCACGTTTCCTTTGCTGTAGAGTGAATGGTGGCTCTCAGCTGTCCTGCTTTTAAAACCAATGCAGGCTTTTCAGTGTTTACAACGAGTCAGTGTCCACGTAGCCTCAATATCCTCATGTCTCAGTGATTCCATAACCATGTTGTCCTTTCCTGCATCCTTCCTCTCCCTGTGCTGTTGTCCCCTCCAGTTCCAACTCAGGGCTTGATTCTGCCACCAGGGCTCATGTTGAATATTACCTTAGTCTGTAAGTTGCCCCACTGATTGCAATCCCAGTTTGCTATTGGCTTTTTCAATAGATTTATGCAGTTACAAACTGCTATGGTAGCCTATGAACAAGGATGTTTGGTCTTGTTGGACTCATCTGTTGAGGTTCTGAGGTCATTGTCATAACATGTTGTTTGCCAAATGTGAGGAGAATGCTACTGCTATGCTGGTTGTATAAGTTATGAAAGCTAGATTATTAGTATTAGCAGTCACCATAGATGTGCATGTCACCTTCAGAGTAATTCCCTGCCCTGAAGAGTTTACAATCCTAAGCCCTGATTCTGCCACCCTTATTCACGCTTTATTCCACGAGCAGCCTAATTTATTTCCCTTTTTCCCCTCTCCCCCATTTCCCTGGAGAAAAAACAAGAAGCCCAACTCCAGAGAAAGGAATGGGTGAAAGGCTGAAACACAACGACTACAACCGCTACTTGTACATGCAACTCCAGCACGTAGAGATGGAGTTGGAATTACTGGGACCTCACAAATTCCAGAAGGCTCAGAGTTACGTCCAAGCTGTTAGGCAGGTCCAGCACATGAAAGGCCTCCTGGCAAGCCACCTCTGCTCTTCAGGATCTATCAGTGAGAGGTAACAATCACCCTCATCATTGGTATATATAGATGTGGGTCACTGGTTCAAATCCAGCCCAAGCTGGTGATGATTGAAAGTCATTACCAGCTGATGACTCCTTGATAATTGTATAAACACTCTTGGAGGAGCAGCAAGGGAATTTCAATGGAATGAATACTGCATACTAGAGCAATAGGGGCAACTCATCACTCTTTTGTTTATACATGTATGCCTCCAAAACTAAATGTTCCAATGTAGTAAAACATTATAGTAAAGAGCTGAGGACAAGCTCTGAGCTCCAAAGTGCTCAAGAGTCTGTAAAAGAATGGATGTGTGGGAACCTGTTAACAAACAACAGAGACAGAAATGGGTCAGAAAAATTGGATTTTTAAGTAGGACGTATTCAACAATATAGCGATGCTGCTCTTTATGGTCTCTAAGCCCATTTTTATAGGGGCATCCAACAGCCACAATGTAGTGGTGGGTCTGTCAGCATCTACATTAGAAATCCTATTATTCTGGGGTTTTAGAAATAAAGCCCATAAAATGTGCTTTGATCTTATATCTGTATACCTGTTTGTATCTGTATACCTGTGATTTGTGTGCTTGTATTCTCCACTACCCGGATACTATTTGTATCATTGTATCTGTCAAAATAATTGGAAAATAGTTAATAGTTTTTAAAATCTGACTTTCACATAAGGTGTTTCTTATCTCTGTTAAGTCCAGAGTTTGCTGTTGTGGTTTGCTTCTGTCTCACCAGTAAAATGACTCTTTCATGATGGTTGACTCTCCAGGTGCTCCCCTACTCCAAGTTTCTCTGGGGATGGCAAGAAAGGTTCCTCTTTCAAAGGCTTGCCCTGGTGGTTTGTTTTCATTGGCTGGTTCCTCATAGCTGCCACCAGTGGCGTGTCCGGATTCTTCACCATGCTTTACGGGCTACATTATGGCAAAGATAACTCCATCAAGTGGCTGATTTCCATGGCCATCTCCTTCTTTGAAAGTCTCTTCATCACACAGCCCTTAAAAGTAAGGTCACTATCAATACAAAACACTAGCTAGGGAAGGGCTGATCCTGCAGCCCCCTCAGGCACATCACTCCCATTGAAGTGAACTTGAGTTTTACATTCAAAAGGACTGCAGGACAGAGCTCTTAAGCAAGAGATCCTTCCTGTAAGTTAGGGGTTTCATTACAGTTGAGTTATAATATCGTGTTGATTTTTCTTGGCAGGAATCTTGTTCCCGTTAGATTCATTTCACCTTATTTTGATAGCTCCCAAGCTGATGAAAGTTCCCAGTGGGAAAGGTATGGCCAGAGGGCAAAACCAATCGCATTTAGTGGGATTCACACAGCATCTTGGGGTCCTTTCTCTTTCTGATTTCTTGTTCATGGAATTAGCCTGTGTTTATAGAGAAAATTAAAAGGCAAGATTCTCCTCCCCAATCTGCAGTGCATGGATCAGAGATTCAGAGAGTCAGAGATTCTAGGACTGGAAGGGACCTCGAGAGGTCATTGAGTCCAGTCCCCTGCCCTCATGGCAGGACCAAATACTGTCTAGACCATCCCGGATAGACATTTATCTAACCTACTCTTAAATATCTCCAGAGATGGAGATTCCACAACCTCCCTACGCAGTTTATTCCAGTGTTTAATCACCCTGACAGTTAGGAACGTTTTCCTAATGTCCAACCTAAACCTCCCTTGCTGCAGAGATGAGCATTTAAGGCAAGGTCTAGACCTCTCCTCATGCAGGATGTGCAGACTCTGAACAGATAGCTAATGTCTTCCAGGTGTTGGGATTTGCTGCTTTCTTCGCTTTGGTTCTGAAGAAGGTGGAGCATGAAGACGAGGAAGACACTGCTGTTGATGGGCCTCTGTCTGCACCAGGTAATTGTGTGTCAGATATAAAACACATGGGGACTAATTAATGAATGTGAAATGTCTCATCTCAGACTTTGAAGTGCTTTATTCATGCATATGGTCAGGGTAGACAAAGGTGACCAACCGCCTGTAACCTTTGTCTGCTCCTGATCCCTAGGCCTGCTGCTCTAATTTACATCAGCTAATAACAACACAGGCCAGGGATCCCTGGAGTGCCTAGGGGATCTAGCTCCATAACTTCCCCTGAGCATGTCTCCAACATGCCCTCTAGATTGTGGGGGGTGTGAAGGGAGGCAGCTACGTTGGCTCTGTTAGTTAGGGATTCCCCCATGCTGGAGGAATTCTCAGGTGCCCCATTAGGGCAGCTTTAGGGCCCTTTTGCATCTTTAGAGCATAAAAATCTACAGGAGTACAGAAAAGCTGCTGTAGGCACAATGAAAAGGAGAGCATAAAACCTGATCATACGTTTACTTAGGAAGAAACGCTACATAGCACGTAACAGGGAGGCCACAAAACCAGAAAAGGAAAAGCCTTGGATCAAAAAGAACTGTCTATCCCCATGTGTCTTTCTTCTATATCTCAACACACACCCCTTTGACATAGCACTGTTGTGAGATTGCCCTTGTAACTGGATTGCTATAATACTATTATTTGGGACTCATCTAATTTCAGGAGTCTGATGTCAGACCCTTCCTCCCCACCATCACTTGCTCTGTCCCCTGTCAGAAGTGGGAATGAACCATGTTCTCATTCTTAGTAGTGGTAGACCAAGAACCGTGAATGGGTCCTCCTGCTACGGCTGATTGCTGTTGCCTCCCACACTCTCACCTGCATGTTGTAAACTTCAGCAGCTGTGTTACAGTTTCAATATCCAAGGAACAGAATTCAGAAGAGGGAATAATATTTAGCAGACTAGCTGAAAACTGGAGTAGGATTTCAGAGGGATGCAAATATGAAGAAACCAATTTAAATGATTCAACTCTCATCCAAAATATAAAAAACAAAATTACATATGGAAAAAAGAATGTACAGGGAATGCACACAGTTTTCCATTCCCGAACACAATGCAATTTACATTAGTGCTGTGCTAACTTCCCAATGTTTATATCATGGATTGTTTTGCAACAAACTACAACAACTCCACAACTTAATGAAAATGCACAGTGTGATATGCTGCACTTTTCACTAGATTTTGTAAACCCAGGCCTGAAAAAATATCAATAAACCCCAGCTTCTATCTTAGAGAAGTTCCTTCCATGATCTTCCTTGCCATTATACGTAACTCCTTAGTTTACTACTGATTTAACTTCTCAGCTGTTGTTCTACCCAAGATGGAACTGATGTGCTACATTTCCCATAAGCAACTGGTGGCTTATGTGGCCTTAATACACTTTATTTAAATAGTGTGTATAAATAAAATGTATTGTAGTCAATGGGAGCTCCATTGTCCAGTGTGCAGAGTACTGCCTTAATACTACAACTCGCTATCACAGTTCTCAGGCTTCTGACAGGCACCTTCTACTGGGCAGGCCCTGAAGAGTCCTGTGGTCACCTCCATCTGCCTAAGTAGGAGGCCCAATGACACAAATTGGGTTACATAGTCTCTTTGTGTTGCTGAGAACGGGGCTCTTGCTCTCACTCCCTTAGTCCCTTTGGCTACTCTCAGATTCTCTAATCTCAAAAGGGGACAAGGGTATAGGCGCCAGCTGCCTACTCGGCCTGCCTTGGGGCTTGCTGGACCTATCTTACCCAGCCAGTACACCAGGGTTGCTGTCTCCTTGTAAGCACAGGGCCGGGGGGGAAGCTGGTAAATGACCTTCCCAAGGGCAGATCCCCCCAAAAGCTTCCAGGAGTCTCTTCTATGAGCTGTAGAACCACTCTGGACTCTCTCCTAGAGCTGCTCTGCTACTGCTGGGAATTTCCCATTTTTAAGACCTTATTCCATCCTTGACATGACTGACAGGGCTGAGGGGCAAGGTCAGCCTTCCCCAAGGCAACTCTGTAACCCCTTCCATCACTGAGCAGGGTTTATATACCCCATCACACTCCCTCCCCAATATATCACAAGCAAGAAATCCCAGCAAAGAGTCGTGGACCTGCCAAACTGGTAGAATCAAGGAAATGGTGCTATTCCCCAGAGAGTGGGGTTTTGTGTTTGATTTGCTGTTTTCTATCAGCCTGATCTTAAGAGGCCAGCAAGTTCTAAGCCTACTTTAATTTATTCACCAGGTGGGGAAGGGGGGTTCAGTGGGTAGAGGAAGCAGTTTTCACCTGGGAAATTGGCTTTTGCCGTTGCAATTGCACCAACCCTCTTACAAAGGGTATGTCAATTTCCGGCACTGGACTGGATGTCTGCCAGGCTTCCCTGTATCTTTCTGAAGTGTAAATCCTGCTGCCTGTGATCAGCCCTGCAAGCCGTGCGCAGGTCATTCCCCATTGTGTTGGGATCTATTTTTATCTTTCTCTTCATCTGAATCTTCTTTTTCCCCTTCTCACAACCCAGAAGGGTGTTAAATCATTTATGGTACTTGATATTTGTAGCCTGTTTGAGCTAAAACCCTCGGTTCCTTGTCCTAGCTAGTCGGTAAGTCTCCATTATTTTCCATTTTCTGGATGTTCAGCCTTTGCTGCTAGGCTTAGTTATACATGTATAAATATACCGTGTAGGTGTCTGCATGTATGTACCGTATGTACATACACTGTGGGCCAGAGTGTGGGGCAGATCCTCAGTGGGTGGAAATTGTCTTGGCTCAGTGAACTCTGATAGGACTATGACAATTTACCCCTGCTGAGGGTCTGTCCCATGTGGCTTTATCATTCACTGCTGTGTGAGATGGGTGCGGGGGGACACCGTTCTCCTGGCAGTTCGCAAAGGCACTGCGGGAGTGCACACAGGGACAGCAGTGGCAGAATCTGCTGCCCTGTGGTGAAAGGGGCTGGGACCAGGGCCCCAACCTTCCCAGCTGTCTTTGAAGCCTCTGGTCCTGCTGCTAACCGCTGCCCCACTGTATAAACTGCACCGGCCACAAAGACTGGGGATATGCTGCCTATCCCCTACCTCTGTGGGCTGGTAGATGGAGCCATTTCCTTTCTGGCCCTTCTCTCCCCCCCCCCTTTATTCCTATTTTTTGTTTCTTATTTTTATCTATTTTTTTCTTTTTTGCTCTCCCGCATGTTTTTTGCTGACTTTTCTCTCTCCCCCACTCACCAGGCTTCATGCTGCTGGGCACTGGATCTGTTGGGGGTGGGGCATCCTTTGGAGCCACCCAAGGCTGGGCTGAGAGCCAGGGGAACAGAGAAGAGAACCCTGGACTGTTGGGTTGTGGCCTGAGCCTGCAGCCCTGTGTTTATAAGCTGCCCCCACAGCCATCTACATAAGGGGCACAATGGGAGCAGGAAGCGAAAGTCAGCAGCTTTCAGACTGGTCACTTTACCTGCAGAAGTAGCAGCATGTGGATTTGGTAGTTTTCCCTCCAGCACTGATCCTTTCCTCAGCCCTTCACCTCTAACTAGTCTGTTGCCCCAGCCCAGGGTTGCTCTCCCCCCCGGCTGAGAAACCCTATATAACTAGAAATGTTTCCCTGAAATGGATGAGATGCCCTAGAAATAAAAAGCAGGGCTTGGAGGAGCTGCTGACATGTTGGCTTTTATCGTCCTTACACACAGGCGACTCAAACCCTCTATTTGGAGCTCGAAGGGATAGCAGAAGCAACATCTACCAGCCACCCCCTGCCACAGACATTCAGAGAATGAAGAACAATCACGTCAAGGAGCAGAAAGCATTTGCCTTAATCAGAGAAATACTGGGTCTGCAATCTGCCCACAGATGATCTTCTTGTTTTAGTGACAAAGCTCTTTCATGTGTTTGCAAATCAGTGCTAATATTATCCTGCTGGACTCCTTGGGTGGGGAAGGGAGAGCTTTACACAGGCATACCTATTGGATATATGGATTGTAAATAGTGCATTCAGAGGGTGAAGGCAATAATGGGGTAATAGCTAGAGATGCCAGTGGGGCTAAAGGTGGGCTTTCTGAGGAAGGGGCAAACACAACTTGCTTGTATTTTAAGAGAACAGGCCAGAGGAGTGTGAAGGCAGAGGGAGAGGAAGAAGGATGTTAGTAGCTGGGAGAAGGTGGGTTTGCTCCTTCCTGTGAGCAAGAATTACCCATAGTTAATATCCTAGGCTCCATTCTTGCTCCCAACAGTCTAAGCCAACCCATGTAAATTCAGCAATGATCTGATATGGTCCAGAGAGAGAAATGTTGCCAGACATCTTCTTAGCCTAATACTAAGTGATAATAGCTATAATTGTCATGTTGCTCTGTACTAGACAAACAATATCAGTTCTAACCTAAAAGCATATTTGCTGTTCTTTCCAGCCTACTTGGGATTTTTATGGATGCTACTGTTGGTTGCCTATGGACAAAGAGATCCCAATTCCTACTACCTGAACAAGCATATTGAAAGCAGCTTTACGGATGGGTTTCGGGATATCTACTCTTATCAGGACTTCTTCACATGGGCAAGAACTACCTTAGTCAACAAGTTATATGGCTCATATCAAGGTGCAGAGTTCTGACTGGATTTCACATTGTTTGACTTGACATTCAAAACTCTGACTTTTGTGCATGCCCCCAACTTGTCCATGTGTATTGGGCTCCTGCGGAGGGACATTAGGGTGCAAGTCTGGTGAACTGATGATTTACATGCGTTAGTGTCATCTGGTATATTACCCTATTAGCTGATCAATATCTGCATAGCTGAATGGATACAACTCAGACAGTGTATTAAAACCTAATTGGCCAAATTCAGCCCATCCCTCACCCGCGCCGCTTCCCCCACCATTGGCCCGGGACGGCGAACCACGGCGAGTGGGGTCCGCGATCGGCCAAACCTGCCGCGTCAGCAGGTAAATACACTGGCCCGGCCCGCTAGGGTGCTTACCCTGGCGAGCCGCGTGCCAAACGTTGCCGACCCCTGCAATAGACCAAGACTCATGAGATCTAGGTTCTATTCCTTGCTCGTGCCTGTGGGGTGACCTTAGACAAGTTGCTTCCCCGCTCTGACCCTCAGCTGTATAATGGGGATAATGATACTGACTGCCTGTGAAATACTTTGACATCTCTGGATGAAAAGCCCTATGTAAGAATTAGCTCTTATTATTACATTATGCCTGACTCAAACCAGGACGACTAATCCTTTGTTTTCTTGAGTATTAAATTCACATTGGTTTTGTTTTATTTAAGAAACAGAATCAAATAATAAACAAGACAAAAAAATCTTTCAGTGAGGAATAAATGGGAGTTGAGACTATGTTGATTATTGAGCCTGACATAATGTCAACATTGACTCTTTTACATACCTCTTTTAGGCTTCGTTACAGATGGCAACTCCAAGTTGGTAGGCAGTGCCCGAATTCGTCAAGTGAGAGTGAAGGGGAACACCTGCCCGATAGCTCCCAAACTGCAAGGCTCGGTCCAAGAATGCCATGCTACGTATTCTCCCCAAGCAGAAGACACGTCAGACTATGGGGAACACTGGAATATCTCAGCCTTCGATAACTCCTCAGACTTGAGTTCTGCATGGCACTATCAGAGCCAATCCAAACTTAGAGGGCATCCAGTGTGGGGCAAACTTGCCATCTATAGGGGAGGAGGCTATGTGGTTCACTTAGGCACTGATCCAAAGAATGCAACCAGGTAGAATTTTTATTGTGTTTGGGTTTTGCTACTGTTGTGGTTTTGATTTGATTCATGTTTTATGTCTATTGTCACCTTGTTTTATATCACGTATTAACCAAAATCCAATCCAGGATTATAACCTGATTTTCTAAGATTAGAACTACATGCATGCACATGGATTCCAGATTTACACAAGCAATTATCACACAATCAAAAAAAATTAGCGCTGGAAAAGACCTAGTACTTCCTCCCAGTCAGTGCAACATTACTCCCTCTTCTGCACACTCCAGCTTTTGGTTTAGTCTACTTTTCAATGCCTAAAGCAATAGGTTTTCTACCTCTTCCCTTTACAGATCATTTCATAGTTTAACTGGATGCCATTGTTAGGAAATATTTCAGCCTAAATCTTCCCCTGCTCACGTTCATCCCATTAATCTTAGCAAGATCTTCTTGGTCAATCCTATGCTTTTTATCACCCTCCTCAGTGTTTATGCTCTTCAGATGATTGCAGACAATCATTATATCCACCCTCTAGCCAAGCTTAGAGATGGAGTGAATTGTCCATTACAGGAAACAATCTACTGTGTTTGTGAATAACAACAGAGATTACTTCTAGGAATGAAATAATAGAAAATGGAGGCCTTTGGAGCCCAAGGCTTGGAGACAAGTTGGCAGATAAGGGGCCTATGTATTACCAACAGGAAATAGTGTCCACCAGTGTTGGAAACCCACGTGTACCTATTTGCCTACAGGTAAATTAGATGTTGTTGGAGATAGCTGCATAGGAACCTAGCTTTTGCCATGCCAGGCTGGGTGTCTGATCCAGCCAGTATCTTGGCTTTAGTATTAGCCAACACCTGAAATTTCATGGGAGAGTAAAAGCACTAGACTAATTGTGCAGTGTAGACCATAAAGGGACAGAGAAATTCCTCCCTGTTTGGACCTACACATCAGATGTCCTTTGAAAGTCCCTGCCTCTTGTCCCCACTTTCTGTATGTAGTTTACAAACAATCCTACCCCTCATGTAACATCACACACCTCTAATATGAGTCAAAAGTGATTAGTCACTCTCTCTTTTGTGCATTCATTGGCAGAATTCTCCAATATCTCTTCAACAATGTCTGGCTGGACACCTTTACAAGAGCAGTGTTTGTTGAATTTACAGTCTACAATGCCAATGTGAACCTGTTTTGTATTATAAGCCTGATGTTTGAAACAAACGCATTAGGTAAGAGCCCACTTTCAACTCTAGCACTTTCAGCTCTTGCATTGCAGTACACAACAAGCAAGACTCAGGGAGGAATTTTCAAGAGCAGAGAGCTGAACAGAGCTTTATTTTTTTTCAGGGGCCTTCTTCACGCATGCAGAACTGCAGAGCATCCGGCTCTACCCCTACACAGATGGTCTGCACATCTTTGTTGTTGCAGCAGAAGTGATTTATTTCCTATTTGTCATCTACTATATGGTAGCACAGGTAAGACCCAGCAGAAGCTTCAGTTGCCATGTGTCACTGGATCCAATTCTGATCTCAACGACAAGGGTTTTACATCAAGCTACTTCATTGGTGTTGCTCCTGACATAGGTGCTGGAATTAGGCATGCTGGGGGTGTAGTAGGACCCCCTGGAAGTGGTTTCCATTATATACAGCGTTTACAGTTTGGCTGAATGGCTCTCAGCATCCCCACTATACAAATTGTTCCAGGACCCCTGCCAATGTGAGGTCTGAATCAGATCCTGTACCTTTAATAAATAAAGGAAAGGGGGGATTTCTCTTGACTGGAGTGCATGCTGGGAAGGAAGTAACTAGAGAACAGCACAAGAACTGGTTGAGCAGATGTGCAGGGGTCTCTTCTTGTGCAAAGGGGACCCTCAATCCCAAATGTTGGACTGAACTGTTCGTAGCTCCAGGGAGAACTGGGGCTGGATCAGCAGCCTTAGCAGAAATGAATGGAATCAAAGTTTGTTAGACCAACATGGCAGTGATATATTTGATCTACTCTGCTCACTTTATACAGTCATATTGCCGAGATTCTTGCCAAGGGCTGTTGGAACTGAAACTCCTGTTTTCACAGGGAAAGCTCATGAGGGCTTTGAAATGGAGGTATTTCCACAGCAAGTGGAACCTGCTAGAGCTGGCCATTATACTGATTAGCTGGAGCACCCTATCAGTATTTGTGAAGAGGACAATCCTGGGGGCACGCGATATCAGCTACTACCAGCATCACAAGGATGAGTAAATGTTCCATGACTCTGCCTTTCTCTGCTTTAGCTAGTACCTCCCTTGTTTTCCCAGCACCTCTGCTGCCTGAGATATATGCTCTCCAGAGGTAGCTACATTTCACTGGTGGATGACGTGAATCTGTATGGCTGTATTATGTAATCCGTGCAAGGATTTTAGGACTTGGATTTATGTCAGGGACAGGAATTAAAGTTACCTCACCTGGGGAAACGCTAAAGGACAGCAGGCATTAGCACCACCTCCCCTAACGTGGGGTATATGGAACTGATGGGCCTTGCTGGTGTAGGCCCTATATGAGTATCATCTGCCTTTCCCTCATCTCACTGCAGCTACCCTGGGTAGATACATGGCTACTGTTTAAGAGCTCAGAGCAAAGCCAGACACAGCAATATCCTAGGATAGAAATTAATAACAAACCAGTCACAACAGAGAAGAATAACAGACCCATGCAGATTTTAGACACCTTTGTGGTATGCTCTGTTGCAAAACAGTAACAAACATAACAAATATGCAGCCTCTTTAAGCACCAAAACACAAACATAACTGGCTTCTCTCAAAGCCAAGCTATTGTAGAACACTTACTTCAGCCAAGAATGCCCCCCTAACCCATCTGCTCCAGCCCGATTGCTAAAATCCCTCCCCCTTTCACTGTTAGATTTATTACCCAACTTCCCACAGCACAATCTTCATATAGAATTTGCAGGGCATTAGTTATTTCTCTACAGCTGGCCCAGCCTTGCTATTCTGCAGACCTAGGAGGAAACTGGGGTCCCTTTCAAAGCAAGATAGTAAACTCCTTCCCTGTCAATCTCCAGAAAGGGTCTATACACCCCATTACACTACCCAACAGTAAACTCTAAGCATTTGCATTAGGTACCTGTTACTCTGTGATTTGCTGAGTAAGAACTTCCTGGCCTGACTGAGTATTAGAAGTACTCGGGCTTTAGTCTATACCTCTGATAGGCCAACCCACTCAGATGTAAAGCATGACCATGCACAAGAGACTCTTGTGTGAGGATGGGATGGGAGGGGAGTTAGGAGCAACACCTGAATAAAAACCTGAATTAACTTTGCAATGAAGACAAACCCTGACTGACCAGTGCTACCAGCATGCTCGTTAATCGCAGTGCACAGAAATGTTCTGCAAGTTTTTCATGCATTGTTTATTAATCTTCTTTTCTCATAGGTGTGTAAGTTTCAATGAAACAGCAACAGCTGATGCAGCTCTTGGCTACCTAATTGCTTTCCTGGTGCTTCTCGCTACTGTGAAATTGTGGCATCTCCTGAGGCTCAACCCTAAACTAAACATGATCACCTCCACCTTGAGGAGGGCTTGGGGTGACATCTCTGGATTCATCACTGTTATTTTAATCATGTTCCTTGCCTATTCCATTGCTGTGAGTATCTTTGTGGTTCCTGTTTGCAATCTGCTAGTTGCAGATAAAATGAATAATTTCTGAATAGTGAAAACAATGTGGCTCTGAAATGTAAAATGAAATAAAGCTGTCCACCTAGACCTTGGGTGAGCAGTTTGATGGCTGCAATATGCTGCAGGTAGCAAGTTAAAATATCCACTTGTCTTTTGCAAACTGAAATGAAGTTCAATAAACAAACAAGATAATAAAAAATATAGATTTCCTGTACATGGTGTTTATGTGTCAAAGAGCAAAGTACAGAAATATACTTAGTGGGCAAAGATCTTACAGGACAACCAAACAGGGGAGAGTGATTGACTGACAGCACCAGATATGATATGGTCTGGAACATGTAAAATAAACATAGGGAAGATTTTTTGGGTTCCTGCCCATTGCTGGTTATACAGGAATAAAGTTCATTATTGTGTAAATATACTAGTTTATTCAATCAGGTTAATGAATTACAGCACTGTAACTATGTGTATTTATTGTTTTATTTGAAACACTGTATGTACATTACCATGTAGAGAGCAGGTGGGATATAGAACAGATATGTTCAATCTGTCACTGAAGAGATTAGGTAATAATTAGAACTTCTCCAAAGTAGCAATAAACCAGATCAAAACAGTAATCTCAAAGAAGGATAAAGCACTGAACTGGAACTCGGACCAGGGTTCAATTCCCAGCTCTGCCACAGACTTCCTGTGTGGCCTTGGCCAAGTCAGTTAATCCCTCTGTACCTCAGTTCCTTGTCTGTAGAATGGAGATAACAAGTCCAGTTTCCCTCTCTTGTATACTTACACTGTAAATTCTTTAAACTAAGACCCCCTTTTATTAAGCATGTGAACATCCAGCACAGTAGGGCTCAGTGTAGGTTGGGTACTATTGTAAAATAAATAAATCTCCTGCGACCCAAACCACTATTTGCATCTTCCCTTACATTATTTTCTATTTATATTACAGTAGCATCCAAAATGCACTCTGTACTGTACAGGCACAGGGAAAGACGTGGTCTAAGATTTTGCAATCTTTGTTCATTAACAAATAAATTAATTGGAGAGACATAACTAAACATTATTCTCCACTTCTTTCCCTACACTGCTCTATACTATCGCTGTGTATTAAACACCCCAGAGGTGACTGAATTTCAGTGATAGGGGAAGAGATTGATGTGTATATCGTTTGTAGAATACTTTGAGATCTTTCAAGAAGAAAGGCACCGTTGATCTGATATTGAGAAGTGCTGAGCACCCACAAGACCACTTGAAGCTAATAGGAGCTGCAGGTGCTCAGCATTGCTGAAAAATCAGGTTATCTATGAATACAAGATATTTTATTGTGGTTATGGCCATCTACCACTTGCTTCCTTACTGCTGAACTAAACCCAAAAAGCTGGTTTCCCCCATTCTCTCCTCTGTAAACACTCATGTTATTGACATAGAGAAAGTCAGGAACTGAGTAAGATGACTTGTTTGATGGGCCCATTAGTCTGCATGTGCATCATGACCCAAGCCCCAATCATAGAAGGAGAAGTAACTCACAGATTCTAGGTTCTTGCCTGCTCCATGTAACTTTGATGTCAGACCCTAAATGGATAACAAACCCTTGTGATTATGACGCAAGATCTGCCTTCTTTCCTTTGCAGACAAATTTGATATTTGGCTGGAAGCTGCACTCTTACAAAACCCTGTTTGATTCAGCGGAGACAATGGTCAGCCTTCAGCTGGGAATCTTCAACTATGAGGAGGTACCAGATCTATCCTTCAGAGACTTATTATTAATTATTTGTATCGTGGTAGCACCTACGCCGATGACCATCTTTTGTACAAACACAGCACAAAAAAGCCCCACAGAGCTGTCAGTCTAACTAAGTTGCTTTTATTTGCAGACAAATAAAATGAAAAACTAAACCACAAAATCATGTTATGAGTTTCTATACTGAGGGCTCAATCCAGCTCCCATTCAAGTCAATGAGAGTCTCTCTATTGAATTCAATGGGAGGTGGATCAGAGCTATAAAGAGCAGCCATATGGTTTCAGAGTGATTTATTTTAAACTAAAGAAAATGAAACATGAAATTAAAAAAGGTATAGTAAAGGCTCCAGGAAAGAGAGCACAGTGTGTGTCTTGTCTGTAACATGCTACATTTGCTCTGCTTTGCAAAATGACAGCAGCCACTACAGACAGCAGATGTCTAGAAATGTAACAGGTGTAAAAACAGAAAAACCTAACTTCCTAAAAATTTGTATTTAAAAAAAAACCCACTTTAAATATTAATTATAATACAAATTCATAGAGGTAGACCTGAACCCAAATCAGACCTGAGCAGTCCCAGAATTTGGGGAAGTAAGGGTACAAAAAGCCAGATCAGAATTTCATAACTGACACCCATTATTATTATTTCTAGCCTCACCAAAATGTGTGGTGGTAGGTGCTTCTCCCTGTCCCACAGAGATTACAAGATAGCGGAGGCATGACTTAACGAGGAGAAAACAAGACAATAGTGAGGAGCTGGCGTGGGATGGGGAAATAGCAATAAGAATACAAAGCTACTCAGTGAAAGTAGCACACAGTTTAGTGGAGTCAAGAGAGTGGGACTCAGGGTTTTTTAATGACTAAGTGGATGTCTTATGTAGCTAATTTCTGGTAGAAATTGCAGCAGCAGTGGGGTTTCTTATAAACAACAGATGATCTCATTTGCGAAGAAAAAGTGCCAGCTCTGAAATGTATTTACAACTGCAGAAAAGCAGATAAATAACTCAGCGGGGCACTATGAAACTATTTTGAGAAATCAACACAGCTACATTTGAATGTTTTCCCTTTCTAGAAGAAACTCAAAGAAAGAATGTTGCTCCTGACAATCTCGAGTTCGGTCCTGCTGAACTCAAATCCAAATAGTACAGATAACACTACTTCATTTTTAATAAAACATTGAATATTTGATGCTTTAAAGGGAGAAGTGCTTAACGCTCTCAGACAGCAAACAGGAAGACTTTTGATTAGTTTTAGACATGAGTCTGATTTTAAAAGCTCAACTGCCTGCTTTATATCTGGGAGCACTTTCTCATCAAGCAATGAAAAAGAGACTAGGGTGAAATATATTTCATACCCTATTCTCCATTTCATTTAAACCCTCTTGAACCCTTCACTAAGACACGTACTCAGGTTTTAAATAGCCACCTTCCATGCTAGCCAATGCAAAATTATTGTATGGTTCATCTAGACAACAGACATTACTATCAGTAGTCTATATGCACCACCTGAAACACAGACCAACCATCCTCTTGGGGCGGCTATATACGTACACCTTCTGCTCTCCAAGAGGAGTTGTGTTTGCACAATAAGGGACAAATGTAATGTCTGGATTTTTAATACATTTTTAACTCCCTGATCTCCCAAGAAAAATTCTTCTATGTTACAACTTTTTTTAGCCAATTCTTTTGTGGATTAAATTAGTTCCTCTTTGTCATATTTCATGGGCTTCTCTTCATTTGGTACTGAAGGTTACTTTGTAATCATAGTATAGCTTCAAAACTTGTTTGTGTGGTGCTAATCTCTGTGACTCTTCACCTTTGACATAGTTATCTTGTACGTGCCATCCTGTCCTTGTATGAAATATTTGTCAATCAATAAATATTTGCCAAGCCTGCAAACAGTCTACCATGTGTTATATTTGCTACTGTGAGAAATCTCATTGAAGCATTGTAAGCATGAATCCCGGTAGTAAGTGTTTGCAGATGTCCCTTAGCCTAAAAGGAAAAAAAACAAGTCTATTTCACATAGGGAAGCACATTTTCAAAAGGAGTTAAACTTGTAGATACAGTCAAATACAGGCAAAAGCCCATGCTTTTCTTGTGGACTATTTGAAAAACTAGTCCAGCAGAAGACTAGATGGTTCAGAGGACTGGCAATGGGCTAGAAAGGTGTCTCACCTCTTGGTCCTAGGTTCAAATCCCACCCAAGTTGCCACATATGAAAAATTGTTGCTAACTGACTCCTATTTTGTAGTTCTGATTAAATGAGTTTGGTGGGACTCGGTACAGGCTCGGTTTGACAAGTGTCCATGTCACTATAATTAGCCTCAGCAAAGAGGCCAATGACTGAATACATATGGAGGCTGACCTGTCCTTTCACTACAGGGGCAGACTGTCAGGAATGCATGGTGTAGCTTGCACTGCCTGTGCTGTTTTGTTCTAGGGATAAGCAGAAGCCTTTGGTTTCCAGGTCTGTCAAGCTGACACCTTCGTGATCACTAAATTCACACACATTTAAAAAACAAAAGAAAGCATGGCCCATAATACATATGGATGCATCACATGCATAAAAGCATGTTCTATCACCTCTGATGTATAGTACATCATAGCATGAAAATCACTCCTGGAGAGAGAAGAAACATATTGTATACTCTATCAACAACTTGGATGCCCTCTTCAGGGTTTTAAGTTGATCTTGCTGCCAACCTTTTTCTTCTATAATAAAAAACATAATGCCTTATTTTATTTATTCTCCAGGTCTTGGACTATAATCCAATTTTGGGCTCCTTCTTAATTGGATCCTGTATCATTTTCATGACATTTGTGGTGCTCAATCTGTTCATTTCAGTGATTCTGGTTGCTTTTAGTGAGGAACAGAAACATTATCAGGTATGTTCATCTAAACTGTTTTATTATTTAATATTTACATTACAGTAGCACACAGTGGCCTTAATCTGGATTGGGATATTTTACTGTGCTGTACAAACACTGATGAGGACACAGTGCCTGCTTTTAAGAGCTCACAATCTATTCTAATTAAACACATTTTAGCTTTTGTAAAGTTACACTGCTCTTTTCAATTCACAGAACCAGATTTTCTAAATCAGCCTAAATTTTATTAATAGAAATATATACACTCTCAAAACAACTTGTGCACACAAGTCAGGTAAGCATCTAGCTACCTACTTTTTGTGCATTAATCTTAGTTTTATCTGTAATTTCTATATGTACCTACACCAAAATCCAGCAATTTCAGTTTAGGTTGAAATCCACTGAAGTCCATGGCAAAGCTTCCTTTTGAGATACTGATATTGTGGTATGAAATTCTCTTTGATGCTATACATCAGGGGTCGGCAACGTTTGGCATGCGGCTCGCCAGGGTAAGCACCCTAGCGGGCCGGGCCAGTTTCTTTACCTGCTGACACGGCAGGTTTGGCCGATCGTGGCCCCCACTGGCCGCGGTTCGCCGTCCCGGGCCAATGGGGGCGGCGGGAAGCCGCGGCCAGCACATCCCTCG